TCCGACGAAATCTCGATGCATCAGAAAGAAACACTTCTCCAGAAAGTTTCTTTCTCCAAAGCTCTTCTTAGGGGAAAATGGCTGATGTGTAGGTGACTTTCAACTTGAGCTTCAACTTCGAGTACGCTCTCCGAAAAAAATTCAACGTACGAGTCTACGCAAGGATGATCACAACAGGCTTTAAACAAACAATGCAACCCTGAGTTATTTAACGAAAGAGGCAAGTAAAGGCAAATAACTAAAATAAGTGTGACGTACTTCTGAAAACAGGAAGTTCCAAGGTATAACTTACAGTTATACGAGTTTGTGATGGATTAAGAATGCAGCTATTACCTTTTGTAACGCTTATGCAAGTAAGGCTCTTACGCTTCTTTCGTGCTTAGCAACCTCCCGTGTGCATCCATAACTCGATGGTTGTACGCTGCACGCTAACCATTTCCTAAACATTAACTGACCGAAACGAATTAAGTACGTTAAGTTATTCTAGAAATCTTCTTTAAATTCTGTCTTAATCCTTTTAAAGCATAGACTAAAACCATACGATTTCACTGTCGACTAGACAGTCTACTTTCTTAGTTGGAACACCGTGAAACAGCTTTGCCTCGTATAATTCTAAGATGTTTAAACAGGTTCCTTTGCCGTTTTGCGCGATAAAATATCCTGTTGAAATATGTTATGGATAAAGTCCGTCTTTTATGACATGACACCATTAAACAGAAAACAAAAAAGATTGTATTTAGGCTAATTTTGTGTGGCAGGTCTTAATTTCTATAACACTTTCCTTTTATTTTAATTTTTTTTATTTTTATTTTATATCACTTTCTCAGCATGATCGTATCTTCAAGAAATAAATTTTCAAGCAAGAATAGATAGAGGCTAAACATCGCATAATTATATCCAGCAACATCATAAAGTATAAATAGTGTAGAAAGTATATAGTAGGGTATTTATTGCTTGAGTTTTATCCATCTGTACCTCTACACGTCACCCCGTCACGATCCAATGAGAAACCTGGTCTGCATGAGCAAACCCGTCCATCGCGTGTCTGGGAACATGTATCAGTGCATCCCCCATTGTTTACAAGACAAGGATTAGTGACAGCTGTTTGGAAGAAGATAAAAACAAAACGTACATTTGGCCATATTTCCTTCGGTTTTGTCCATATTGCATTCCAAAGTTTTACCGAAATCCATCCAACCCTCAATAGGAAAAGCTTTCGGAAACAAAACTTATGACGTCACTGTTGGCGAGCTGAAAGCAGGCAATTTGAATTCTTTTATGGTTTCCTCATCAAAGTTTCTCGATAAGAGACGTGTGTGCTTATCATAATAATTATACCCTTACCTCTAGATTCGGCAGTATACGCAGCAGCAAAGCCAGAGTGCTGAACAGATTGATCCGTGACAAACTTCACAAGGAGTTCATTGGTAGAGGAGCGGATCTGGGAGGGTAGATCATCACCACAATACTTTCCAAGTTTCGGAGAGTCCGTCCCTGGACCGTCATATACTTCAATATAATCATAGTCACAACCTGCGTGGGGATCAAAAGCTAAATTAACGAGGAGCAGGAATCGTCCTGTACTCGGAAAAAATTCAATATTGTTGAAAAGAGGCTCCTATGTGCGAATTCTATCTATAACACACGCATTTGAGTACGTTCCCTGTGCACAGCGCTAAGTTTGCAAATGAAATCGAAAGCGATGAGCAACTGAAACGCTGTGTGCCATACAGAAGTATTTAGAACAGATAAAAAAAAAAAAACTGTCACTAATCTTATCTTTTCACAGCACACTCTCCAACTGTTGCCTATGCCCTTTTACAGAATTGTGCATATGTATGCTGAAGTGCTTTCCCCTTGAACTAAGTGCGTTTTTAAGGTGGTTCAGTCAAATCATCGAATCTATCGAGCCCCAAAGCGCCGAACGAAAAGATGGTTTCCTGCTTCAATCTACCTTCAATTTTCAGAGCTCCTCTCTCGATAATAGAGCTTACAGTATCAAGATTGAGTTGCAGTTATCATGGAGACGAAAAACCGTTTCCGAACTTCTGCTGTTTCGACAGAACTTATTGTCACGAATGGGTTAACACTCACCTCCAGAAGCTTCTAAGTCAAAGTGCGTAAAACGCAAAGACACAAGTTTTTCCTTCGGGACACAGATAAGGTAGGAACAATCCAACGATTCTGGATGCTTTTCGGGATGGTTCGGAGATGTGATCAAACCACTCTCTCCAGAGAATGTCTGACTACACCCTTAATGATAAAAAACAAAAAACAAAAAACAAGTTAAAATTTTTATTTTTTGTTTAAGACCCGCATCTATTACTGGGCCTCTTTCTTTTTTAACCAGAAGGGAATGTTCCATTCTTGTAGGAAAATAAGCATTGCCTTGAGGAAGCTACAATGAACAACATGATCAGCGCATATTTAAAAAAGCGTAGATAATTCTGGTTGACCGGTTAAATTTGTGTTCACGATCTTTATGGCTTTGTCGACACCACCCAAAACATCATTAGGAAAAGTATAGACATCTCCCAATATAGAATGTACTCTTAAGAGCCGCAGACGCGTTCACCAACTGTTCAATGCGCGGCCAGGTCAGCGCGTTGTGTTTTTGGCAAAGCACTTTACTCGAACAGTGTCTCTCACCATTTAGGGATATAAATAGACACAGTCAGGGAAACCTGACGAAAGGCCCAAACGTGACTCTAAGAGATGGACTGGGTACCCATTCAGGTAATACTTGTAAAACTTTTGAATGCTCAATACTACTGAAAGCGGAATGAGCTCCAGACGAGGAAAGGTTTAATGGAGGATATTAACTTCAGGGTAAGACTTTGAAATCTATGTATATTGAATTGACATCAATGAATGTGTATTTTAAAAAAGAAAATGAATTTTTACTCGTCCAGATCATTAGATATGGGCCTCTGCCCGGAGAACGGAAGGCAAACGCTTAGGTAATCTGACTAATTGATTGACTGATAGATTGAGCGATAGAGGTGCAAGAGAGAGGTTAATATAACCCAAATTTAAAAACAGTACCTGTTTTTCCATAGCGCAATTTAAAACCTTTGTATCCAACTGAGAAATCTGAATGGAATCTCAGAAAGAGTTTAGGGCCGGTGGACTCAATGGTATCAGGTAATTCGTCTCCACACAGCTTGGCCAATCTGTTGGCGGGGTCTCTTGATTCACCGTCATAAATTTCCAGTGAATCGTATTCACAGTTGTTGCTTGATTCAACCTGGAAGGAAAACATCCCCTTGAACACACACCTTTTAATTTTAATATTTTCATTCACTTCGATCAATACTTATTTGCGTTTATTTCCCTTGCCCATAAAGATGGAGTTTCAATATTCGAGTAAGGAGAAGCGTCATGGGAAATAATTGATAACGAATGAGAACTAGAGAACTTCAAAAAAATACTTTCCGACGAAATCTCGATGCATCAGAAAGAAACACTTCTCCAGAAAGTTTCTTTCTCCAAAGCTCTTCTTAGGGGAAAATGGCTGATGTGTAGGTGACTTTCAACTTGAGCTTCAACTTCGAGTACGCTCTCCGAAAAAAATTCAACGTACGAGTCTACGCAAGGATGATCACAACAGGCTTTAAACAAACAATGCAACCCTGAGTTATTTAACGAAAGAGGCAAGTAAAGGCAAATAACTAAAATAAGTGTGACGTACTTCTGAAAACAGGAAGTTCCAAGGTATAACTTACAGTTATACGAGTTTGTGATGGATTAAGAATGCAGCTATTACCTTTTGTAACGCTTATGCAAGTAACGACTTCTAAAGTTGCTCCTTAAAACAATCCAATAACCGTTGTAACGAGTCTAGCGGCTGTTAATTACCTCACCGCTTCGTCGCTTACAGGTAAATATCTAGCACCAGACATCACCACTTAGGCGAGGGGATGTAAGTGATTATTATTATTATTTTTTTTTTTTTATACAATGCAGAGAAATGATATGCTAACGTATAGTATCTTGTTTCATCCTGAGAACTCAATGAGAAATTACCCGATAGGATTAAGCGCACCTAATTTGTTCAAATCGAGATATTTTCGCCCACTATATTCGTGAATTACATCAATGTAGAGAGATACATGAGGAAACTACTTTTATGTCTCCTCGGGTTCCTGGCCTCTGCGCAAGAAACCCAGTGGGGGTAATAAAAGTTTCAGACCGTTTCACAGTGACAAAAAAATGTGAACTGCATTAAAATTGAGAACCGCCTTAACTTTTATTGATTTGGTCTCGTAAACTAGCGACACTTCAGTTTTGGAGGCACGCAACACTCAGAGCTGAGCTAACTATTAATTTAAGAATTTGGTGTGTGACACATTGTAGCGATGGCTAGTCTGTTTCTAAGAGCTATGAAACATTTGTAAGCCAGAGCACCGCAGTATAATTTGAACGTCTCACTGTACCTGGAATTCCTCAAAAGTCAACGTTATTCGTGAACCATTAGAGACCTCAATTTTCCACAGGCAGTCTATGTCATCTGGGTAGCTGAGAGGAAAGTTGGGAGTTTGGATATCTCCAGAGTCAGCTGTCAGATCACCGCCACATTGAACTTATGGTGCAGAAAAAAACAAAACAAAAAACACAGCAACAAATCACGGCAGTACATGGAAGGGCATTTCAGTCGTGATAAAATTACCTGGGCAATACTTTTCGTAAACTAAAATAACTTATCTAATCACAGCATTAGAAATACAACGGTGTGAACCCGTGTTATTTACTGAACTTAATTGATTTCTTTAGTTGATGGGGAGGGAGAATTTTATTCAAACTTGTTCTTCTATCTTACAGCGACATAAGATAGAAACAAAAATTTGAGAAGCAATCCATACTGCTTTTCCATATCTTAAAAGGGCGAAATGAAATGAACTGGTGGATGAATTTATAAACTAGCGACCGAGGCTGAGTGCACTGATTTCGGGTTCTGGACAACGCTTTCGGGTCACAAATTGCTATCTGGTGGATGGGGTAGTTTGTGATCTGAACACTTCGGTAGCGTCAGAAAACCCAGCCAGACTTTACTTTGGTCTTTTGGCCTCAAAATTGGGCAAGAATACGTTTGCTGCTTGCGGAGAGTATTCCCTTTGAGTCCGAGATGAACACTGCTGAGATGATTTTCAGTTTGACGATGATGCCTTTCAGCATTTCCGCCATCGAATCGAAAATCTAGTTGCGCTAATACAAATTTTGCTGGGATACTGAACAATAAAATCATTCGTCATTTAGCCTTGTTATATACCGAACAAGGATGGAAGGAAAATGAACTTTAACCAATTTACCATGGCTAAGAGGATTTATTTTGATTTTCGTTCTGGTTTCTCTAAATTAAACCCAATAACTGAGAACTGAGAAATAATTTTAAATCTTTCCCTTTCACCTTATTGATCCCGTCAATCCAAGTAAGAAATGGATTACTGAAAGTTAAAAATTCGCAAACTCAGACTTACCTCGAGTAGATCTCTTACGAAACGGACGGAACACGTCCGCCAGGCTGTGAGGAAGACGAAACGCGGCAGAAACCAAAATCAAACTCAAGAAAAACCTGCAAGTAACACAAAAAAAAAGGTTGCCTAAGCGAGTCTATAGCTGTTAACGAATCAGTTAAGCGTTAGGTGAAATGATTTTCACAAGAGACTTACAAACAGTATTGCGAAGTACCCATGTTTATTCCTTCAAGCTGCACACAAAATGGATCTGATCCAATAAGTCGAGTGCTTGGTGCGTTGTTATTTTTTACACCGTGATCAATTGCAATGTAAGGTAATACGTCAATACCCAGCTTCAGTTACTTCTGGAACGGAGCCATCATCTGACCGCATACTTGTCGTGACTGTCCGCTGATTTTCACTACATCCCTTCAATTTTAGTCACAAGATTTTACAGTCACGTCTCACATATCGATATGAGAGATCTTCACAGATTTAAAACCTAAACCGTGCGGTAATTGAGACATCACAAGTTTTTTTTTCATGATAGGAAATCCTGAGGGAGTTTATAGATTTAGCATGTTTTGTTTCAAATATCAATTGACAATGCGCCAAGGAATTTGACACCATTCTTCAAAAGCGCATTAGAGTCTCGATATTTAGAGTTTGAAGATTGCTTTTCTCTAACATTTTTTCGTGTTCTCCTGTAACATTTCGTCACCGAAAAGACCCAGATATGAAAGGAAATCAAGGGATTTATGTTGTCAGTTTTTGGTGAGGCATTTTTCTTTCTCTAAAGTTACATGACGCGTTCTCTAACGCTATTCTACGCGTAACAGAAACATTAGAAAACATCTGCCAAAGCTTCAGTGTAATGGTTACTCTTTGTAGTTGGACTTAATTACGGGTCTAAAATTGTTGTTTATTCTTCTTTTCGATCACACAGGCTTCATATATCTCTCGTGGTGTTTTGTTTGGGAAGACAGGGGCAGAGTGCTCGTCCGTGTAAGTGGTATCCGATCAGCAGTGTAATTTTTAAGTTATGAGCGCTTGGACCTTGATCAAATCTTAACAAAGGTCGTTCTGTTTTATCTTTGAATATAAGCATCTTCACTTATCTGTATCAGTGATAAAACCGTCGATTTATATCTTCAGAGTGACTGATAAAAAAAACGGTGTGTTAAACTTCATCAAAAACGCAAACACGGCGAACATTGCGTGTACAACCTACGGAAAGCGTTGTAGGACAAACGCGAAGAGGCCTGAAACGCAAGTGTTTCTCACTCTAAATGCCGCCCAGGGAGGGAATAATTCATTGATGTGGGAATTCCGAAAATCCATTTTTTGCCCCATGATTAGTAATATCATATAGGGTGCTACTGTTCAAAATTGTAAGTTTGTGTTTTACTTCCAAAACTCCTAAAATGGATCTTCAAAATCCACGGTATAATAATCAAAAGGGGAAGTCAGTTGAACTTTCTGGCGAATTCCGGTTTGTTTGCGTAATTTCCTGTAGAAAATCAAGCAGTGCGAACGCGTCAGCACAGACGTGCTCAGCGATTACAAGAAATTTTATACGAAGGAAGAAAGGCGATCATTTTTCCAAGTTCCTTTTAATGCTGTAACAGTTAAACTAAATGTAACGACACGATACGATCCAAAAACCGTCAACACTCATTAGGCAGTATTAGGGAGATAAAGCACAGATGGACAGCTCTGATAAAGACTTTTTTTTGAGTGATGTCATACTAGTCTACCGTGCCACAGTTGATTTCGATATGTACAATTCTGTGCTAAAAAAAGTGTCAACCTCTCCTAACCGCTAATGTAGTAAAAATATTGTCGAGACCTCCATGGGTCGTCAAAAGAGCGGAGAACAGAGGAGATAATCGATGTGAAATTGAAAGAAGAGTGCATCACGCAATTTTAGGCAATCGTAGCTTGGAGCTAATGATAGAACACACGAGAAAGAGACGAAAACCCAAAAGGAACACGAAATATCTACGAAGCCACGGCATAGTTCTTCATTTTGAAATGTTTAGTCAATCCGTTTCGATCCCCCCATCCTTACGTTGCGAATAATCAAGATAAATGATTAAAGGGGTTAGATTGGGGAGTATAGCAACTTGACGAAGGGCTAACGCTCGAAATGTCATATTTGAAACTCTTTATGTTGGCCAATTTACATAATAATCTCAGTTGATAAAACCAAAATTACCTATGATTTTTTTTTTTG